TTTGGGTTTAACTTTTTTTTTTTTTTTTTTTTTTTTTTTTTACATTTATGTACTTGGTGTTTGTTAAAAAGTATAAGTAAGGTCGAATGCATGCAAGATTGCCTTGGGTGTGTTAAGACTTACTATTAGCTTTTGAATATAAGCTAACTTCAAATATTTGATGACTTATGATTAGCCTCTAAAGTATAAGCCGGCATGAAGTGGATGAGGATTTACCACTTACCTCTAAAATATAAGGAAGAAGAGCTCACAAGCCAACCTTAGACATATGAGGAGGCTTTATGGTTGTGGATGAGGATTTACCACTTACCTCTAAAATATAAGGAAGAAGAGCTCACAAGCCAACCTTAGACATATGAGGAGGCTTTATGGTTGGCCTGTGAAAATAACTGAGACGACATGATTAGACAATTTTATTATTATTATTATTATTTTATTTTTTTGGCAACATCTCCCTTTGAATATGGATTAAACCCATCTAATAAAACAACACAAATTCCCAAAAACAAGTATAGAAATAAAAATGGGACAGTATGCTACAAGGTCGTTGAACTGGGGATGATCTGATGACTTTTGCACTCCGATGCTCAACTCAAATTTCGACTTTGAGTGTGGAAAAAACAACTAGACATAACGTTACCTTTTGGTGAAAGATTTCACATACTTCATGAGTGCAAATTACCTATGTATTGAGAAATATGAGGAGTGATAAGTGAAATTTTCTGTCAAGTGTTATGTCATGATTAGTCGTTGCATAAAAAATTTTATTTTGATTTATGTTCGATTAGGATTATATCCCGGGGTCCGCTCGAAAGCCTCAATAATGAAATACAGATTGTATAGTCAACTTTATGTTTGTTATTTTCCAATTATTGGTTACGGGTATTTTCATGCCTATTTGGCCCAGTTCTTTTACATGAAAGACTGAGCCCAAAATATAACGGGTCATTTGGGTTTCAACTTGATAAAACTCAGTACTTCAATAAAAAATGACCCTTCAATAGTTTAAAGGCCATTTTGTTAGGACTCCCACAAAGGGGAAAAATACACAACTACTAGAGTGTAAGAATCATATTTCATAATTAATAATTTTATAAAATAGTTCCAAAATTCAGGTGCTAAAAGCAATATAATAACATATAATATAATCTAAATTAGGATAAAATGTAGTTTAAAATAAATCCTACAAAATAGGAATTATTCCATATTTAAAAGATATTTATCACTCTCCTTCTCACAGGCTAACACCATATTTCTCTCTATAAACCCGATTTCCAAAATCGTTGCAAATTTTCCCTAAGAGTGTTTGATTACATTTATTTTCCATGGAAAATATCAGTTTTCCACCCAAATTCCTTCTTGAGGTGTTTGATTGCTAATTTTTTTCATGGAAAATATTTTCTAACTTTTGAAAATATGCCTAATTTTTCTTGTTTTTAAGGAAAACATTTTCTTTGGGTGGAGGTGGTTTTTATTTTCCACAAAAAAAGGAAAATATTTTCTTTTTTAGGTGATATTTTTCATGTCAATCAAACACACTCTAAATCTTTAATGTTAAGCCAAAATCAAAGAATAAAGTCACAATATAGTCGACAAACTTGAAATTTATTCTTTTCGTCAAGCTGAAGCTCGTCGGCAGACCAATTGAATGTGCCCAAAGCAAATACTGACATTCCTTGACAATTCGAAGCCCTAACAAGCACGTTAGTATTTAATATGGTCGAATCGAAGTTATGGCATTTTATGAAAGCAAAAGATTACAATCATTGATTCTTTGAGCAATTCATAGGACAGAACTTGGTTTTACTAGAAAATGAAGAGATTTCAAACTTTCATAGAGAAAAATTCAGGGATTTATGAAGTTGAAGTGAAGCTGTATTTGCAGATTAGGCTGAAGTTTAAGTTTGAGAAGTTAAAACAAATGAATATTTGTGATGATAGCCATACATAATACAATTTCCTTTTACAATGGTAAAAATAGAAGAGATGGGCATGTTGAGGATTCTGTGCCATTGGGAGTATTCTTGGGAAGGCCTGCAAATAATTTTGATGGTACTAGCTATTCATAATAATTTGTAATTTCGGTATATGGGATGGGTTTTAATGAATCTAATTGCATTTTGAGCTCATTTCATACTGTTAATTCCTTATTTGTTGCTTGTTAAGTTTATATTCCCCATTTTATTTTTATTTTTACCTTACTTCCTAGTAAAGAATCTCGAAAATTAAATGTTGAAATGGAAAATTGAAATCATTTTAGAAGAACAATATAAGACCTCGTCCTGGGTTGTTGAATCCAGCTGCACTGGAAAATATTGTTGTAATAAAGTGGGTTCTATATATAATATGACTATTGAGACAGAGTTTTAGCTTCAATCTCTAGATTGTTGGTAAAATTACTCGGGTTGATCGTCTCTTGTTAACCAACCAGGTCTGTTATAACATTAAATGTTTGTAACCAGACATGTGTAAGTGATTAATAACTATAACTGGGTATGTCTTCAATATAAGTATCTGTGACCAAGTTTATTTTAACTTTGATTGTACGCAATCAGGTATTTCTTAAAAGTGACTGTCTATTATCATGTTTGTCTTAAATGTGCCCATTTGTAACTTGTTCTATTTTAACTTTGACTATATGTGATCAGTACTATCTAAATTATAAATGTATGTGACCATATCTGTGTTAATAGTGTTTTGTGATCTAATATGTGAAAATGGCGTGACCACTTCTATGTTAATTATGACTATTTGTGATATTTATGCGTTAATTGTGACTCTATGCGACAAAGTTTGTGTTATATGTAACTGTCTATGATCAGGTTTGTTTCCACTACGAATGTTTGTGCCCCCTAATGCATTTATTGTGGCATGTTGTTATCTTACTGTGACCTATTATTGCCTAACTACAAATTACATTAATCAAAGACCTATGTTATAGGAACAATCTATTTATCGATCACAAACCACAAATTTTGTAAATTATAACTTATTTAAAAGTCACAAATTATGAAATTAATTGATCAAGACTTATTTTTTTGTCACAAATCATAAATTTTATAATAGATTAATAGATCACGACTTTTTTCAATCATAAATCACAAATTTTAAATATCACAACTTATTTCGTGGTTACAAATTATAAAATTAATTGATTATAAGTAAATTTTCAATCAAAAATTATCAAATTGGTTGGTTTCTCTTGTAAAATGTAAATTTATTATGGTTTAGAAGTGAATGACAATTATACCCCTGCAGTCCTGAAAATTATTATTGTTGTATCTCCGATTCTGCCCTATAAATACAGGATTTTGGTTCTTAATAAAACACACACAAGCCTATTGACTTCTCTCTGTTCTCTTCTCTTTTCTTCACTTTTATAACACATTATCAGTACGATAACTTAATTTTTCAAAGTTTAGTGAACGTAATAATTTTTATATGCGTGAATATTTTTCACGTGTACCAAAATTAATTTGGTAGCATGTGAAATATTTCAATATACATATACATCATACGATGTTGCTTCTTCTTCTCTACATTTTATCGACATGCATATTAATTCTAATTCACGTTTGTATGTGTAATCTGAACACATATTAATTCACTTTTTTTTATTTATGCACGATCATTTTTTCACATATTATTCAGTATTAACTCTGTCTTATAAATCTGTTATATATTAGTTCTATCTTTAATTTCTATATATATGAAATTTATATGCATGTTTAGTATCTTTTGCATGTTGATAAAAAATTTAGCCAATAAATTATTTGGCCAATTTTGTTAACTTCTATATAAGGAGATTCTTTTTCTTAATGCATGTTTGTTAATTAATTTTTCTATATAAATTCATATTATGTATATATGGTAATTAAATATTTCTAGATATTATTCTATGAATTTCAAATTAGAAATTTATCATCTTGTTGTTTCAAAAGTAGCACAACATTTTAGTTAATATTCCAGAAAAATATTAATTGTATATCTATCTATTATAAATAGTTCGTTGTTGCTCCTGAAGTAGCACAACATTATTAATATTCTAGAAGAATATTACTTGCTTATAAAGAGTATGGTATTGCAAGTTCAATAATCCAAAAGAATATTGACTCAATGCTTTTGAAGAAGCATAATTTAAATTATAGTTATTTTAAACGAATATAATGTTGATATTTTTGAAGAAATGCAACACACGTTATATAAATATTTAAGACGAATATTTCATTATTACTCATGTAGGGCATAAATTTTATTATTTAGCTTGAAAGGTAGAATGAATCGTTAATATCAATATTCTAGAAGAATATTGTATTTATGCTCTTAAAGATCATATATCTCATTGTGTTCCCAAAAAAATCACATTTTATATAATAAAAAAAAAGTTGTGTTGGTATTTCTGAAGAAACACAATATTATTAATATTTTAAAAAAGAATATTAATTACTTCAAAAGAATATGACATTATAATTTCAATATTCCTGAAGAATAAATCACGAATTGAATTATTCTAATTATTTACGTATCCACTTTTCTGCATACATATTTAGATATTGATGTTCTTGTCAGATTGTATTACTCTTAAAGAGCATAATGATATAAAATTTAATATAAAATTATGTTTTTACTCTTGAAAAGTAAATCCTTACATAATTATTATTGTAAACAATAATATGTTATTGCTCCTGAAGAGCATGACATTAAAATTTTCTATATTTTAGAAGTATGTTGATCTATTGTTCTTGAAAAAGTAATAATAAATATAATGTGATCTCAAAATAGCACATTCTAATTTTCATTAATACTATAGTTAGATCTTACTTACTCTCGAAAAGTATAATTACATATAATCTAACGTAAATTATATTTTTACACTCGAAGAGTAAAGTATTGTATAATTCATTATTATAATATTTGATTGCTCGCGAAGAGCTTGAATTGTAATTTTCAATATTCCAGAAGAATACTGACATATTACTTTTGAATGAGCAATAATAATAATAATAATAATATAACGTGCTTTTAAAGCAGCACATGCTTTGGAAAATATATTATTTAGAATTCATGTTTATCCGTGAAAGAAAATATATAACTAATGTCGTTAGAACATTGATTAGTTTGACTACTTGAATTATATATGATTATATAATATTTAATCATATTCTTGGAGATTAAATGATTGAATTACATATTATATTGAACCAAAAGTTCAATTTGATTTTATTATTTGACATGATAAGTTGGACCATCACTAGATCAATAATGATGCGAAGTTAAAATTTTAATGGATATTAAATGAAAAATTAGAAGATTTTTCAATCAAATGAATTCATATATATTATTTGTTGTCTTTATTAACAATTGATCATTAAGCATCGCTAACTAAATTAGGGATTGAATGTCCTATATTTCTGAAAATTATTTAGGGTGATATATGGGGCCCTATCACCCACCATATTAACCATCTAAATATTATTTGTAACAAATATTAAATGATTGCATAGTGTTCGCGACCTAAAATTTTGCGAAATTATTACTCAAGTTATGATCATAATTTTCAGATTATATAATTAAGACTATGTCTTGTTAACGCTAGTGGGCATAAATCTCAATATTTTAATAAGTGTTAGTTGAGATGTCGATGATAAATGGTTTAACACTATTGTTTGTTAAATGTCTTGAATTAATTTAATTGAGAATAAAATTATTTCCAATTTTTATTTAGGGAATTCTATTACGCATCATGTCAAAATCACAGTTCTCCATATTATAATTAGCTTATGGTCAGATCCTAATTTTTGCATCTAATTATTTTTTATGATGTAGTATATGTAAAAATTGAACACCACAATACACTGAGTTGGAAAATAAAGAATGCTGAGAATAAGTACGTAGTTTGAACTATTATTTAAAATGGGCGATATTTTATAACATTGAAAAAATGATTGTCAATTTAATTGGACAATTCTCTCAACATTATGGGAGGAATTAAGAAGTTGAAAATAATGTATAAATGGATCATCATTTAAATCCTCGATAAATATCATTCGAACCAGAAGTTCGAAAGATAATTTATTTATATGCATTTATTGATCAAAGAGATCAACAATATCTCGCGCACTAATTTTTAATGCTCCAACATGAATTGATGCCTTAGGGGACAATTTGTTAGCGATATATTTGATATATATACAGCATGCATAAAGCGTGATGGTGTTCGATTCTAATACAAAAATCTTCAAATGAAAATGGAGCAATTAGCAAAGGTGGTTTCATTAAGTAGGCATATATTCTTAATGAGTATTTAGACATAACAAATTATAAAACCCTAAAAGAGGTTCAGGTACCTGATATGTTGAAAATTAAGATATCTAAATAAATTATATCACTATGGAAAAAGAAATAGAATCGAACGAGAAAAGAAAAAGTTGTCGACAACAAATTTGTACATGATATATAGTATCATATGTGAATCGCGAGGAATCAAAATAAATTCGTCGAAATATATCGATCGAAATAATGTTTGGCCAAATAAAAGGAGACGCCATCTTAAATTGAATTTACTAGATAAACACAAAATTTTTGGACCTGTAGTTCGAAAATCTAAAGGTATATACTTTTACGAAAAGTAAATGAGAAAAATGAAGTATATTGTGTAATACACGACTCTCAACATAGTGAATTTCACAAATATTGTCATGGATAAAATCACGAGTCTATATCATGTTATCTTGATGATACATAAAATTTGAAATACGTGATAGTCAACTGATCTGATTATTAATGTTATCTTTGAAAGATTTAATATGCTTGAAGCATAACTCAAATGATACATGCCTGAGAACCATGTTTTTAGATCATTATATTAATTAAAA